TGTGTGTGTGTGTGTGTGTATATATATTTCACTATAGGTAAGATAAAAATAATAAAAATAGTAATAATTTAGTTCTATAGTTAGTGTGTCTCGAAACTTTTATAAATTTGAGGAGTGTTACATAAAATAAGACTAATGACATTTAGATTTTTCATAAAATTATCTTTTTCGATTTTTGAGCAAGATTGAAATTCCATGTCGTTTGAAGTTGCTGAAAGTTTACCTTTATTAGGATACAATTAGGCCAACAATAAATACAAAAAGTAAAAAAAAAAATGAATAAGAAAAAGAGAGAGGTTATGTCCATGACCATGTTATTTGATGAAAACTGATACTTAAAGCATGTTGAGCAACATCTGTGAGGCTGTTGAGTATGGAAAAGTTATATAGATGGTTACTTCGTGAAATGACTGAACTGGCTTAAAAATAGCTCCACGAGTTTTCGAACAATGCATGATGCAAAAAAAAATTTTAAATCGATAAATATTTTAAATATTAAAAAAAATCTAAGTAGTCTTACAAATAATGAAAACTTTAATGAGTAAAATTTTAGTTGATTTCAAAGTAATAAATATTAGGGAAATAATTAAATGACTATTTTGTCTAGTGTAAACTTTATTTTAAAAGGTAAAAAAGGCGAACGTTATTTCGTTAATGGCTTTCGTGCTTTTAATTAATGTAGTATAGATATAAATAGATATATAATTTTTATTTATCTCAGGTGACCTGAATTGCCCTTTGCAGAAGTAAACAATCCTTTTCTCTTTTAACTTCTATTAATGATTGGAGTAAGATCAGTAAGTAAAGGTTAAATGTAATTAGTCAAATATCATAAGGAGTAAAACTGGAATAAAATAATAGAAAAACAATACTATACATTCACTTTTAAAATATTAGTCGAAAATATATATTTTTTCCAAATAGTAAAAAGTTCAATTTGAAACGAAAAAAGGATGTTTTAGAGAAAAGAAAATAAATAAATTAAAGACAAACGCCAACCCTTTTTCTGGTTACTTTGGCCTTTGCCTCACAAAAAAATCGAAAAATTACACAAAATTCACAATCTTAAAAGGGATAGGCTTATCCGGCCTCAACATATGTGGCACCATACAAAGTTAAACTCCATATCTTTAGCAAGATACCCATTGTGCCACGTGTCTTTTGGGATCCATGAAAAAAAGATCAAAAACCCAAAAATGTGCAAATTATTACTCTCTAAAGTTAGTTTTGTTAGTTTGAAGTGAAGAGCATGGCATCTTTGGCAACTCTTGCTGCAGTACAGCCCACAACTGCCGTCAATGGGCTAGCTGGAAGCTCCATTATTGGAACTAAGCTACATGTTAAATCATCTCGCCTTAATTTGAAGTCTACTAAATCCAGGTACAGCTTTCAACATGTAGCTTGTCCATTCGTGTATAGAAGTTAAACTTATAGTACTAAAGATTTATTAGAAGGGGAGCCTTGGCGTAAAAAGTTACTGCCATGTGATCATGAGGTCACAGTTTCGAGCCGTGAAAACAGTCTCTTGTAGAAATGCAGGTAAGGCTGCGTACAATACACCCTTGCGTCCGACCCTTCCCTGGATCCGCGCATAGTGAGAGCTTAGTGCACAAGGCTGTAGGGGCATATGTAGTATATACGTGACAAGTTCAACTGAAACCATAACTTTCGATACGGAGTATAAATTTATGTGCAAAATCTATTAAAATTGCAACAAATAGTGAATTTGAACTCATAGCTTTAAAAATATAATGAATTAAATGCTAAAAATCTAAGGCTGAACCCATAGAGTTTAAAATTGTAAATCCTGGAGCCGCCTCTGTTGGGCTGCCCTTTTTGTATCCAATCTATTGCCTTAATTTTTATACTTATTACTAATCTCACTTAATATGAACATTCAATTATTATTGTCTGTTTATGCGACCTGATAATGTAAAGTGTTGGTTTTTTGGTGATAGTAATCTGACTGGCTATTATATTTTTGCTAGGGCTGGTTCTGTGGTAGCAAAGTATGGTGACAAGAGTGTATACTTTGATTTAGAGGACTTGGGCAACACCACTGGCCAGTGGGACTTGTATGGTTCAGATGCACCTTCGCCATACAACTCCCTTCAGGTATTTGATTACTCCCCCCAACCCCCAACAACCAAAACAGATTCTTTCTTGCAGCAATACTTCATATTTTATTCTATACTATCCCAAAAGAATTTTTACACGTTTCACTGCATTTGCTCCAATTTGTTAGTATGGTGCACGCAATGTTTCATACTCTGATTGACTGATTGGATAAGAGATGGAGTAAAAATAGAAAAATACTTACTGGATATTTTGCATAACTATTGGAACAATTTAGAAACAGGAATTTTTCATCAATTGCCAATAGTCTGAATGACTTCTTTGATCTTTCTTAGCAGATGCAATTGGCATATTATGAACAATTTTTCCTCTGCAGTTTTTCAATTGGCAGGGATCCTGCAGCATTTCAATATTATAGGGATTAGTAACTTCTTTCACGTTTAAATTTAACTTCTCATTCATTGGTACTATACAATAGTCTTGGTAGCTTTCTTAGGTTCAGTTACGGCGATGGGCAATTTATGAAGTGTTTGCTTAACTAGGATTTTTGTGTGTGTTTTAGGAATTGAGCATGTATTTGAGCGTAAAGCAAACAGTTCCTTATTATGGTCTTAGGAACGTTAACATCTGAACAACTTGGAGTACATGAGAGTTATGAACAACTTGGCATACTTAGACAAATTACAAGAGATGTTTTGTTCTACTTAAGGTCGGTAATGAGCATATGAGCAGTAAGTGAAGAAACACAGTTTCTTACATATGCAGACATCAGTATCGTGTGGATAGAACATATGATTAAACTGTTTCGTAGTTACTTAAGCTCAGATGCAGATCCAAGATTTTAGATCAGTAGGTACAGAGTATCATTATACCAACTACTGTATAGAAATAGATATTTTCTAAAATTTCTGATATACACAGTTACAATCGAAAGCACTATCTACTTTGCATCCACAACTACTTGTGCTAGTTGTGCGTGTCTGACAGGCATTAAGGGTTTGTTTGCCGTGCTTGCATGGAGTGATTGTGTTAGTCTAAGCTCACATGTTGATTGTGCTATTGTGATAACTCTCTCTTGTATTGTGTTGTATTTGGTAGAGCAAGTTTTTCGAGACTTTTGCTGCTCCTTTCACTAAGAGAGGTCTGTTGCTCAAATTCCTGATATTGGGAGGTGGCTCAACTCTTGCATACTTCAGTTCAACTGCATCAGGGGATATACTACCAATCAAGAAAGGACCTCAACTTCCACCCAAGCTTGGGCCACGCGGAAAGATCTAATTCCTTTTCAATCCAACTTTCTCAACCTTCATTTTGTAATTGATGTATCTGTCCCCAGCTTGTAAGTATTCTTGAAGCCTACCTGAGACCTTTTGTTACAGAAGTTAAATCTTATTGCAAAGTTGGAGCATTGCTTTCTAGCTTGTCGTCTTGTGACATCGAGTGTTGAGATGTTACTTTAATTGGTTCAGGTAGGTGTCAATGAATAATGATTTTAATTAAGCTTTGGCTAGAAAGTCGATAAACTATTTTGACTTCTAATTCACTAGAACAGGAAGCTCTTTGCTTTAAATTTGGCTCAGAATGTCAAGGCACTAACATGATATTTTCTCACTGTTTCTGTCCATAGGAGAAAATTGAAAGGAAATAATTACTGATAAGTTGCAGGGGAATTGTCTTAAAACCAAATAATGATTCTATACGCCGTATAATCTCCAAATTCCAGATTACAAAACTCTTTCTAGCAGAGGCTATCCAAGGTAAGAATGGACTATTTCGGAAAGGTCCACCACTTCCCATGATTATTTGTCAACAAGGTGACATCGTCTGCAGAGTGAATCATTTTAATAACTATTCCCTATTTACAACAGGAATGGACTTAGCATCCTAGATGGGTTGTGTGATTCATCTCATTATGTACATTTGAGGCTGATTGTCACTTTGATGACTTCCTCTGTCTAGCCTCCGATGAGTTGATCCGTATTTCACAGCAACATCACTTAGTGGCGTGCTGTGGGACTTCTAGAACCAACTAAGTTCTCTAAGTAAGAACTTTTCTTGTTTGTGACTATGTTAGGTGGTTTCTTCGCATCAATGTCTAACTCCTCCTTCAAATCTTTCTTTGCGTCATTCTCTCCTTGTTCCACTGTCCAACCCATGAAATCCAACAGTGTCATTGACGTTGGATTCTCCACAGAGTTAAGCTTTTCTACTTCTTCCTTGGCATTTGGGAATCTGCCTGATGGACATACGCGTAATGAATCTCTTAGAGGAAACCTCTTTACTTCAGCACTCGAAGGATTTTGGGCCGTAGCATCTGCTTGGAGAACATCTTCAATCCTTGACATGACTGTGTGTGCCCTGCTCTCTATTATTCTTGAATAGCTTTCTAAAATAGCTTGCCCCACATCCTGTAAAATCGAGAAAAATATAGGTTATAACTTATTAATAGCCTAAGAACTGAAAACCTTTTAGCTTTGCAGTTTTATTTTTGAAGGGAAACTACACAGTATAACCGCTCTCAGAATAATAGCCGGCAAAATGTATATTAATATAATATACATATTTTATACATAATCAGTGTATATATATTTTTTGTATATTTGGCTAGCGGATTTAATTATTATTGGCCAACCGGTCAAATGTGTAACTTGCCCATTTTTGAAGCCCTTGCGACTTCAAAAAATAGATGAAACTAATCATAGGAATAATGAACAACATATGAATATGCTGGTAACAACCAAAAGAACATCCAATTGCATATCTTGCAGAAACAAGGTAAAAAGCGTAGATACTCTAGTATATCATTAAAAATTTGAAGTAGATCAATAGAGGGCGCTTCTTACCCCATTGAATTGGATTTTGCTAATGTCTAGAGATGACTGAGGAATTCCAGGGAACCTCTGCTTAAGAATAAGCAAGATAGTCTCTGCTCTTTCTTCAAAGATTTCTCTCTTCTCTAAACTAACGGCGGAACCCCATGCTGACTTCCCATCTTTAGAAGTCATCTTTCGTCTCCAAATAATTACAGAAGCCTCAAGTTTGTTCTTGAGGTCTAAAATCTTATGTTCTGAAGACAAGTCCATAGTTGTGAGGAAGTAGTCAGGATCAAAGTATTCATCAGTGATGCTCTTATAGATCGCATCTCCAAGACTTGCTCTCCCATTCTAAACATAAAATAATAAAATATTCAAAGACAATACTTAAATAGTGTGACGATACATTTATACAAAACTTCTACGTTCAAGATTTCCTTTTTGTTATTGTACCTTGGGTAGTGAGTCTATATAACTTTCAGGGATCTCCATTTCCGATAGGACTTGAGCATTTATAGCCATGGCTGCTTTAAGTACTTGGTTTACTGAATCCTTCTGAAATTGCAGCCATTTTCTTGTAACATCGGACAAGCCATTTAGAGGAACCTTAGGAGTCGGTATCCACCATTTATCATCTTTCCTCCCTTCCTGTGATTCGTCATCCTTCGATATATAGGAGAACTCGTTTTGGTCTTTAAAGTTATCTAAGCAATCCTGTGTAGATCATCAAATCGAAGCATAAACATCAATGCTTTTAAATAAGATTATTTTACAATGACTTGAAATGAACTTTTCTCTTACAAGAAGCATAGCGTCTAGCTTGCGTAATGCTGGAATATTCATTTGAAGATCGGTTCTCTGCTTTGTCACCATAACCTGACAAATAAAAAGCATATTGTTGGATGTGCGAACAAAGTCTCACATTGGTTGCTGAAAAGATTGGGAGCCTACATATAAGGTGTTGGGATCTCTTAATGGAGTGAAGCCTTTTGGGAAAAACTGTACGGGCTTAGCCCAAAGCGGACAATATCACACCATGTTAAGAGTATCATTAGGCCGCTTTAGCCCAACACATATGCTCTTGTAAGTTGTTAGCTAGATATATATGACATGATGAGGAGTTTCCGAAAAGATGGGGTTGAGGGAGAGAATTACCTCCATACTTGTTCCATCTTTTGATTTTTGTTTAGAAGGAACAAATTCAACAATGTGATCTGTTACAGATAACAGCCAGTCAATTTCTTTTCTCCATTTGGCTTTTCTCTCAGATGGCATAGGCTCTAATCTCTTCTGTTCCCCAAAAGCAGAAGCTGCATTCATGAGTAAAGAAACAAAGATAGGAATAAAGAAAGTATTATTATGAGAAAATAGAATGCATATCATATAAACAACACCACCAACAAAGAACCCAGTATAGTCCCACAAATAGGGGTCTGGGGAGGGTAGTGTGTACACAGCGTTACCCCTACCTTGTGCAGGTAGAGAGACTGTTTCCGATAGACCCTCAGCTCCAAGCAAATGAATGTCATGTAAAGTGAAACCGAAATAGAGTGTGTGTGTGTATATATATATATATATATCCTGTGATGTGGTGGAATTGAGATACCTGCTAGGTTTGTGATTGCATTAGACAATGCCAGTGCAGATGACACACCCTTTCCTCCACCGGACATGTCCTCGCCAAGCAGCAACTTTGAAAACTTTTCCTTCATCAGCTCCATATCTGAATTTGTGAAGAAAAAAGTAGGTATGTCAACAATATGGTCATAGGAAACACGAACATTTGAAAATAATATCACCAGTCTTGAAATTTTCTCAAACATTTCACCAAGTTTTGTCCCCAGAGATTGAAGCCAAAGAGAGACAGAAAGGGGAGAAATCTAAATTCCCTTTCAAAACTAGGCAATAGAAATGATGTAAAGAAATAATAAAATTAGCCAAGGTTTTTTCGTATTTGAGTTCAATGCAGAATTAATAAATGAAAGAATCTATCAAATTTTCCCAGATAAAGGAGGAAGGTTAAATAGGTTGACAATTATGCGTAAAACTAATCAATTCATAATAATTCCTAGCACGTGCTGCAAAGGGTCCACATGCAGCAGAATAATTGTTAAGAATTCATACAACAGAACAAACTTGTTTGAAATTGAGGCGTTACTATTGTTGTTACATTGTATTATGAAAAGACTAGATTTTCCCACATGCGAAATTAGAAGATGGCTTGCCTGAAGGCTGGGTCTGTCTAGGGCGAGGGCTAGGGACACCAGGATCATTAGCCAAACGTGATTTGATAGACTCAGTACGACTAAGGACACACCCAATCCTTTGAAATTCAACAGGTTGATCATGTAAAGGCATTGAAGCTTCACTTTTCGACGTTACCCTTTCATCCCCTGAAGTCAATATTGATGAATCACTATTATTAATCTCAAGAATCATACTTCGCGTTTCCTGTCCTGTTCCATCCTCTGACTTTCCTTTGAAATGCAGTAATTTAGCCTTGCACATTTCTTTCGCTTCCTCAAGTGCTGCTCGAACCATCTTTCTGATTCAAGCAATATAAAACTATCTCACGCGATCAACCTTCCGACCATGCAGCAATAACAACTACGTCCCAGTTTGAAACTAATTGAGGTCGGTTATATGAAACTTGAGATTATAAGACAGGAAAACTTATATATTTGGGGATGGAGGGGAGGTGAAAAGAAGGATTAGAAAATGGAAGCTTTGGCTTTAGAGAAGAGATGGAATTAAGCAAAATATTGTTTTTTCTAATTGAGAAGTAGAGAATGGAGGAGGTTTTGGTGTTAGTTTCTCAAGTTTTTTGTGAATGGTTGGGAGAACGTGCGGTGCATGTTTCAGCAAACAGGTTACTTTGTTTTGATAATTATTTTAAATAAATTTCTTTCTTGCTATACAATGTATATGTGCTTATTTGGAGAGTCATGACTAGCTTTTCGGCAAAATATTGATGGCTGAATATTTTTTTACTTTAAATAAAAGTCAGCCACATCCCTCCACTAAAATAAATCAAAGGTGTGCAGAAGATACTCCTTCTCTCCCAATTTATATGTCGTAGCTCCGATTTTGAGAGTCAAATTTTTTAATTTGAACCATAAATTCAAACATAATCTTTAATATTTTTTTTAAATAATTTATATGTTTGAAAACTATGTAATAAGTCATAAGACTAATACTTAACAATTTAAAATATTAAAAAAGCATATTAAAAAGTTGTGGCAAAAAATTCCTTTTGACTTTCAAAATCCAGCACAAAAATTGGACAGGAGAGTATTAATAATTAGAAAAAGAATCATTGCTTAAATGATTGTAATAGTTCTGTTCCCTCAGTTAAGGTTTTATTCTGATTTTGATGTGTGACCAAGCGAGAAATTTTACATGAGAATTGCCAAATCATACTTAAGTCGGGCCCTTATCGTTTGACATATGGAGCCATGACCCCACCCTTCATCATCACTTCTCCGTCACAATTCACCTACTCTCACTTTCTGGTCATTCCTCATTTTTTTTTTCTAATTCATTCTCCTCCACACGGACTTCACCCCCTATATATCCTCTTCTCTTGTTATAAATCCTATAATTATTTTTTACAAATCCATTCGGTTAGTTCTTCTTTCCCACTGAGCTTTGCACCCAAAAAAGAGGTTTGAATTTATGAAGAAAGAAGCTCTCACAAAATTAAAGTTAACTACCTTAATCAATGAGCAAATGCCAAAAAAGCTCAATTCGAAGAATAAACGGATGAGAAAGACATTTGAATAGTGAAATTGCTTTTACCCGTATTTTTAGTCTCAACCCTTGCATTCGAAAGGGATAGAGAAATTCATGAAGAAGGGGCAGATGGCTGTAATTCTACTTTCTGAAGAAAGAGAGTAATCTTCGACTATTTTGCTTATAATTTGAAGAAAGATGCCTAAACAATATTTTCGTTCAAAATTTATAAAAGCTGCACAGCCATAGATGTACACATGCCAAAAATGAGTAAAACAGAAAATGAAAATTGCTTGAGATCTGCACTTGTTCCAAGTGTGTGTGAAATTAGGGAAAAAAATGTTAATTTAATTTTCATCAATTTACCAAACAATTTTGGTATAGTTGAAAATAATCAATTGTTTGTGCTAAGGCAGGGGCGGCCCGACCAATTTCAAGGCCTAAAACCAAACTTTACGAGAGACCTTAACTTTTTTATTAATAAAAATATTTATTTTTATTTGAAGTCTATTTTTCTAACTTTTTTTTAGATGCAAAGCTATTATTATTTTTTAATAATCAATTTCTCCTAATAAGTCTTTCTCAATTAACAATATAGCTAATTCATTTTATATCTTTGAGACATTGTTGATCTTAGGTAAGATTTTATCAATTTTAATTTTGACATACTTTTTTTCGCTGAAGCAACGGTAATAGGAGTTATTAACATTATTCTATAAGTAATATAACCATTTGGAAAATAATCAAATCTTTTTATTTGATTGAGTATATCAATCAAATTGTTATCTTCTAATTCTACTATTTTTCTTAATATTTTTAATTCAGAAAATAAATCTAAACTATCAATATTAGGTTGATTATTGTGATTTAAGGAGCATTCAAGATGAAGACAATATTTTTTTAAATTTCCATCATCTAGTGATCTCAGTTTTTACCGCTAAATAAAAAACCAAAAATATTTTCATATGCCTCTAATTGTTCAAATCTATTTTAAAGTGAAAAAAATAACCTTGTCTACTACTCTCTACGGTCCATAATAAGTGACTTTTTTGGCTTTTATTTTGGTCCAAAATAAGTGTCATTTTATATAATCGAGAAGGAATTAACTTTATTATTCCAAAATTTGTCCTTATTTACATATCTCAATATGTCAAGTTAACAACATATAAATTTTAATTAAGGATAATTCAGTCAAAACACATTTTTGTTCTAGGAGTCACTATTTTCTTAAGGGGCACAACAAAGGTTAAAAAGTCATTTATTATGAGCCAGAGGGGGTATGTATAAAAAGTAATCAACTCTAAAGGACTTTTCGAGAGATTTTGAGATTTCACTATTAACATTCTCCTCAAATTGTTTCTTTCTATATATTACACGTTTCTTATGAAATTCAGGTTCGATATTAATTTCAAATGCAATTTCCTTGGNATATATATATATATATATGAGACCTCTATAAATGTGGAGCCTAAAGCAGTTGTTTTACTTACTTTATGGGCGGCCACCCCTGTGCTGAGAAGAAGTGGAGAAAGAATAAAGAAAATTGAGAAGATGAATCCGGGAGTGAGAATGTAGGTCAAGAATGAGGGAGAGAATGATGATGAAGGGTGGGTTCCATAGCTCCGTGTGCCAAACGATAAATAGCCTCACTCAAGTATGATGTGGCAAGTCTCACACATTGTAAAATTTCTCGTGACCAAGCATATTTAACGTTCAATCAAATCAACCGAGCTAAATTAGTTCTTGCAACTTTTCTATCTATCACGTGTTTGTTTGTTTGTGACAAACTCATATCTCAACCAAACAAAATTGAGAAAGAAGAAAAGCGGCGGAAAAAGAATATGGTCTTCTTTTCCACAATTATTATTCTTGTTCTCCCTCCCAAATAGCTGCTATATATCCCATTATTATTGCTCTCCTTGTTTGAATGTTACTCTTGTAATTCATTCTTGTTGGGTTGCCACCTTGAAGTTAAATTGGTTGGCGATTTTTCAGCTGTTGTTGCTGATTTTTTTTTTTTTAATTTAAAGTTTACGACTAGTACATATAGGATCATTACAATCAGAACAAAACAATAATTCAAACTAGTATTGATCTTTTACCCTTCGATATCCTCTAAATTCTCAACTTTCAGCTTTAGAAGTACATAAAAACGAAAATTAGAATAAAAGCCATTGCATATTTAATTTGGAGATAAAACAACTTTCACGATCCTAAACCCGGACTCGATCGTGATGACGCCTCTCATGAAAACAAGGCCAGCTGACACTTTCCCATTCCAATTTTAAGCAATTAAACAATAAGAATTAAATCTAAAACGTAAAAAAAAAAAAACCAAAGGTAAGTAGTTAACCGAACAGTTTGCGGAAAATAAACCCAACACAGCCCGATACCGGGGTGTCACTAGTCACGAGCATCTACCAATTCTAACACAAGTCTGAAAAGTCTACAAAGCTATTACAAAGCCACTAATAAGGGAAAAGAAATGAGATAAGAGGGGAGAAACACGGGATTGCGGACGCCAAGCAGCTACCTCGTGAACTCCGAAGTCTCCCGAGAACTCTCAACTCTCGCTAGCAGGATCATCCAACTCAGTGAGTAATAATCATAAATAAAGACTGAAAGCAAGAAATCACGTAAGGCACATTACACGCTATAATGAAGCAGTAAAAAGCCAGTAAAATGGTGAATCAGAAAAGATATGTAAAAATCACTTCAGTTCAGTTTAAACTTCATAAAATGCCTTTTCAACAATTAAGTAGGAAAATGACAGGCAATAAGAAAGATAGACACATAAAGGTTCGCCCCTCGGGCACAATATTAACAAATCCGCCCCTCGGGCAATATCTAAGAACAATACGAGCCTCTCTGGCTATATCTCACATCACAATAGGTACCCGCGCTCATTGGGGTGTGTAGACGCCTGGAGGGGCCCCTTACGGCCCAAGCGCAATATCAAGCCATCTCGTGGCATCATCACTAGGCTCTCGGCCTCATATCAACAAGCCACCTCGTGACGTACAAATCTCAGGCCCTCGGCCTCATAATCATAATCAGTGTTTCCTCACAACATAGGCTCTCGGCCTTACTCAGTCATAATCTCACAGCCACTCGGGCAACAGTAAAACATAGTGCTCAGCCCAAAATATCATTTAAAATATCTTTGTAAGTGTTAAAACAGAGTAAACATGGCTGAGTCATGAAAAACAGTAGAATATAGCATGATTGAGTTCAAGTATAAAGTCAAAACAATGAGAAAATATCAATAAAAATCCCCTAAGGGTTCAAATAGTTGGCATTCAGCCCAAATATGGCATTCAGCCCAAAATATGATGATAGCAAATAGTTTTCAGTCAAATACGCGGTAAAAACAGTTATTCGGGATGGACTGAGTCACAATCCCCAATAGTGCATGACCCCACGCTCGTCATCTAGCGTGTGCGTCACCTCAATATAGCACAACGATGTACAATTCGGAGTTTTATACCCTCAGGACATCATTTACAACTATTATCACCTTAATCCGATCAAATCTCTAGTCCGCGATGCCTTTGCCCCTCTAATCGGCCTCCACTCGTGTCGAATCTATCCAAAATCAAAATCACGGCATCAAAATATGCTAAGGGAACGAAGCCCAAGCGAAAACAATCAATTTACAACTTAAATCCCGAAACTACCAAAACCCGACCCTCGAGCTCACGTCTCGGAATTCGATAAAATTTACATCAATAGATTCCTCATCTCCCCACGAGTTCATACATATCAAAAGTATCAAAATCCGACCACAAATGGTCCCTCAAATCCTCAAGTCTAGGTCTCCAATACCAAGCCTTAGTTTCCCCAATTTTAACCCTTAAATTCCATTAATTATAGGTCTAATCCGTGAAATAATACCATTGGAACGAGTTTTAGGTCCAAAATCTTACCTCAATGAAGTTCCCTTGAAATCCTTCTTCAAAATCGTCCAAAAAGCTCCAAAGCCGACTTAAAAATGGTGGAATAGCTCAAAAATTGCGAAGGAAACAATTTATATATTCTGGCCCAGGGATTTTGCATCTACGGCCCAATTCCCGCT